AAGAAAACGAAAGCCTAAAGTCCGTGTGAAACATCCATACAAAACGTGTCTTTGAAGAAGGCCAAATCACTACGCCACGTCTTGACGCTGCGACACGGAACATCGCCAATGAAAGAATGCACGCTGGAGATTATCAATCTTTTGTTGCCAGGCGTCTGAATGTCAGTCTGAGCACGATATCACGGCTTGCAGCTCGTCACAACCAAACAGGTATGACAAATGACCGTCCCCGTACAGGCAGACCCCTAGTCACCGTCGCCCAAGATCGGTACATCCGGGTACTACATTTACGTGATCGTACTGCCACGGGTGAGAGCACAACAGCTAGGGTGCCTGGACTTCGGAGGATATCCGGTCAAACGGTACGGAACAGGTTGAGAGAGATTGGACAGGGAGCCAGGAGACCCGACGTCGGGGCCGTGCTACGTCGTCGCCATCGCGCTCAAGGTCTCCGTTAACTAAAATTATTCACTTGGTTGTATAGACATTACCTTCTTCTAAACTGATGTTCAAATTTATGCACTAAAGTCTATTTGTGGACAAGTTATGCATGTTTGAAAATGCAACATTTTCGCAACGGATTTCTTGCCTATGCGTTTCTTTTTTGGGATAGTATATATTGCAGTGAAGACCCGTGTGTTTGTAGTTTTCGCTCACTCACACACTCACTATTCCAACGATACGATTAAACCTGTAAACAATCGGGACAATAAAGTTGTAGATTAGAAAAGGACATTCCCAATATTTAGGGTATGATAACACGCAATAATCCACCGTGCCATGCTGCATTGTTCCATTTTAGTCACCCCAACAAGCACATAGGTAAACTATTTCTTACCTGGAAAATCCTTATAATGATATACGTAACGTTAACATGGCACCGTGTAAAATTCCTCTGTTTGCATTCGGGACGTGCCATAATGTCGTGTTTCATTCACAGTAATAAAATGTAAAAAATCAACGTCACCATGAAGTATATAGAGAATACTACACGAGGTCTCATTACATACGAATTATACGAAACTCGTGACCTTCCTACGAAACGAGTGTCTTTCCTATGGTATCTGGCCGAGCGAAAGCGAGGTCAGATAACATAGGAAGGTCACGAGTTTCGTATAATTCGTATGTAATGAGACCGAGTGTGGTATTTTATTACATGCATTAAATTGACAAAATAGCGTATTTTTGTTATGTTTTTGGTTTCGAACCAGTAGTGTATTGTAGTACAATATTTGCATGACGTCACACTGTAATGACGTCACTGCCTTGGTAACCGACGTCACGATGCATGTCAGTTGTCATCACCTCGTACACCCTCCTACAGTAAACTACTCCGGAGCACCTCGTTTCTTGGTTTCCAGTTGCTTCATTCGGCTAACATCACTGGTGGAAACATTGCGTTTATGTTTTTCGACGGATATAATGTCTCAGTTCGACTCACAATTAAACAGCGACACGGCAACGTTCGCAATGTTTACATTCCCACAATGCATTTTAGTTGTAGAATGAATGAATTCACGTGTTTGTTATTAATGACAAAATAGTTACGTCAGAATGTGACCTAATTGAGAGGTCATCGGTTATCCAATCAAATCGTAAGAATCTCAGGTCAAGTCGTTACGACACTCATGTGACGTACGCGATTAGTATGTATCTATTACATCATCATAAAGACATTGAGCTCTATATCATTATTTGACAGGATTCATCATTACTCACGATACCTTCAGACGGGTATTATGATTTTTGCTTATTTTTTTGGGTCAAAACATATGTGCCTTTAAAGTTTGAGTAAAAATCATACATTTTCCTCCGATATATAGATTTCAGAAATCAACATAGGCGTTACATTGCTATCTGAGTTTCCTTATGACACAACATATCGCCGATAAAGTGATTTGCGATACGACATGTATCGCGATACGTAGTTACGACTCGTATCATGATACGTATGAAGGCTTTATCAATATACCAGCAATATCACGACGGGAAACATAGAAAATAGGCTTCACACATTGTATCCATGTGGTCTTCTGCGTAAGGTATAACGGTTTAACCACTAGGCTAGCGACCCGTGAAGGTCCGGGTTAGAATGAACCTTCAGTAACCCATGCTTGTCGTAAGAGGCGACTAACGGGTGGTCAGGCTCGCTGACTTGATTGACACATGTCATCGGTTCCCAATTGCGTAGGTCGATGCTCATCAGACTCGATTATTTACAGACCGCCGCCATATAGCTGGAATATTGCTGAGTGCGGCGTAAAACTAAACTCACTCAGTCACTAGGCTAGCGCACCGCCCCATGATACAAGTGAATAGTTTCGTACCATAATAACGTGAACTGTTAAAATATTTTTTTCTGACTCACGTGAACAGACACTATGTTTATTGTGGTTTAAAATAAAAAAGAGAAAATACCTTGAATATTAGATGATGTTTTGTCCCCGTGTAGGCAACCGATCTCCTGGCTTATCACAGACATGTCCCTGGTTTGAGCCTCGCCAGTCATAACAATCATGTGTTCCTGTGTGAGTCCTCCGTGTATCAGCCTTGAAGCTAGTGAATACTTTGTACGGGCGATGTGAAAATCCGCATCGTTGCTCTCGTGTAACAACGTCCAGCTTAGGACATTTTACAGGCGCTTTGGACCAGGGTTTCTCTAGTGAAACGTACATACAATATCCCATATCTTCCTCGACAAACACACTTTATTCGGATACACCTTAACGTGTTAAACACAATTCTTTTATCCAGAACAAATTTGGACTAGTTGTAAGTCATGAATTGTTTCGAGTGTAATGAACGTTAATAATTTACAGAGAACATAGGGACTCCTTCAACCACACCCTCGCTCACGTTCAAACCTGTGCCTCTGATACAATGACTCTGCGTGAGGAGACGTATCATGTCCGAGACATTGATCTTATTTCATTTCACTTTTGTTAAAGCATAAAACTTAACACACTGAATTTACTAGCTATATTTGAAGAACGCTGAATGGATAAATTGTATCACATTTCCAGACAACCCTGTTTCGGTCGTTGACATGCTTTATCACTTTGCTAGATTGTTTTACGTTTTAATACTTTCCTCAGAATCGTCCAAATGGTGTGCATCACCTGTTTTGAAACCGAACTATGCTACTTCACTTATTATTTATAAAACTGCAACACGCTTATCGGTGAAATACCATGTAGATACAATGTTAATTACAAATGATATACCCACACACCCACCCCCACAAAAGAAAACAAGCAAACAAACAAAAAACCAAAAAACCAAACACGCACATATTTTGTTTTCTGTATCAAAATATATAGTAAATTATCACAATTTGGTTATTTGTGGCAAAAATTACGTTTTAAATAGCTGGCGTATGAGAAGAAACAGATCCATTTTCACAATAATTTTCCGATGTGTTTTCTTCAATAACGCTGTAAAACAATGCTTCCAAGTATCTTTCTGGACTGAATTTTGATTGCGTCACAGCTTCTGCTTTAGAAACCGTCGAAATCGTTGATCTTTGGTTCATAATATACTTCCCATCAAAAGTTTAGACTCACTTGTGTAAATATAGCCACTTACTTCAGGCAACTGTTCTAAACTAAATTTTGCAAAATACTCCATACCGTTTATAGGTACTGTTTACACATGAACTGATGTATTGTAAAACATATTCGTAACGTTGAAAAGATTATTGTCGTGAGTTCAATAAATGATAAAAATCAGTGAAAATCGGCGAATTCTTAACAAAAGTTTACACCAAAAACGTAGCTGTTCACATGCACGATATTTGCACATGCTTTTCAGCAATTTGATGTATGATCGTCGTGCAGTTCATCTGCATAAGGTTTGCAGTTTGTTCCCCAAGTTAGTGAAGAAATCAATCTTTGTTGTAGCCATATATATATACATAACATATAGTGAGTGTTTTAAGTGTCTTAAATTTTCATGGGAAGTTTATTTGTAAACTTCAAAACCGAAATGTGAATAAGTATGGCATGTCGGCAACATTGTGGACGTATGTGTGGCGCCAATGATACTTTCACGTTAACAGTAAGTTATACTGTGGACACCCTGCTAGACTAACGGTATAACATTTTTAAAGAAACATCTAAATGTAGCATCACCGAGTTCAGATATCCTAAACCTGAGGAGACTTAGACTTGCTTTATTCAGAGCTTTCGCAATGCTGAAAGGGCAGGACAGAGAGGGAAATAATGTGGTTCAGGGACTGGGAGACAGTCTACGATCCCAACAGCTTATGTAAGTCTTAGGAAGATTAGGTGGATCAGAAGGTTAAGCCCTGAATCGGGGTTCGTTGTGTGTCTTCGTATCCTGACGGCGTGGGACGCAGCTCATGATATCAATCACTGGATTGTCTAGTTCAGGGTTTACATTTCCACATTTCTCATATAGTTAAAATGTTGTCGAGTGTAGCGTTAGACAATAAACACACGATCAAATTAATAAAGTGATTTTTCAGTTGATAACGAACAAGCACTATAAATCATGGATGACTAGCCACGTAGTGCAATAACAGATTTAATCTTTTTTTGTCCTGTATTTTTTTACACTGATGTATAATATGTGTCATAGTTCACTCGGATGTGTGTTTCTTAACAGTAATAACAATGGCATAATAACAACAATTATTTCAAATACAGTAACATGTCTGTTCCGCGCTCCAATTGTTCCAGTGAAAGAAGCTGGTTTCGCTAGAGGTAATCTCATCAACGCTCACATAGAAAATCGATCGGTAAGTTGTCATATGTACTGGCCGTTCCTTGCTAAACAGGCCTCATCATGTCGGGCTCAAAGGTCCCAACATAAACGCAATCAAATCAAACTCCTTTTCAAAAAACACAACACGCAGTGCAATAATAAAGAAACTTAACATACACATAACGGTAAAAGTATGAGATCAAGCGAAGCGGTGCTATTCAGTGGGAGGATCTACGGTAGTAGTTTACATTGTCGTCATGGCAGTGCCCCCGCTGTCACGTTGAACGAGCATTCTCTACACAGATCACTGTGTGTACCGTTGCATACTTCACGGTGTTACAAAGAAGACATATAGCACCGACTCGTGTCAGTCATCCTGCTGGTAAGGACTCAACAGGCTAGGCTGTATTAAACAGGTGTGATATGTACAAGTCGCCTGCCATTCATCAAACTCGCTACCAATAACTCCCGGACCGGTGGCAGTGTAATGGACTTGATAAGTACTTTATATCACAAGTCGTCGGTTTAATCTCATTCATCATGAGTTAACCATCGTTGGAAGATTTAACTTCGGATATACGCTTATCTTGTGCTCAAAAAGGGATATTTCAAGTGGTGGAAGTTGGCAGAAGTGATCATCATGCCCTACACCAAGAAACCCGTGGCTAGTAGAATCTTGTCCAAGTATGAGCAGGAGAGGGCGTATCGACTACACCGACAGAAGGTAAGAGTGGTCGTGACTGCTGTACACCTTGTGAACACTTGTAGCCGTGCCTGTGGTATACAGCGATTACACACTAGGGGGCGAGTTGTGGACAAGGAATTATACCACAAACAAACAGGAACATGCTTCACTGAACCTGAGAGAGAGAGAGAGAGAGAGAGAGAGCTTCACTGAGAGAGAGAGAGAGAGAGAGAGAGAGAGAGAGAGAGAGAGAGAGAGAGAGAGAGAGAGAGAGAGAGACTCTCACATGCAGATACCTAAAATGTTATCCCTGTTCAAGGAAGTAAGATATTTTCATGAATGGAACTTCAATCAGGAGTAGGTCTAAAACCTTTACATTCATAATTCAAAACTACTTTTGTATTTTGAAGAGAACTTCTTTATAGATTTCAAAAATATCCAATACAGGAATGCTGCCAGCCTGCTGCTCCACACTTCACAAGACAGCTTAGTGACCCTGACAGGCTTGGTTCCCTTGGCAGTCTTGTAGACATTCCTGGTAATGACTTGTCAGGGGGATTATGTAGGGAGATAATGACCACTGGAATTTAGGATATATTTAATGACAAGTGCGATGTGAATGTTTTACAAGAAAGGGGAATTATTGGGTTCTTTTGTTCACTCAGTGAGATGTGGATTGTGGATGTGTGTCTTCATAGTTTGTATTTCAATAATACAAAGGTAATTTTCTTGTTTATGTCAGTGGAGGCTATATTTGATTTTGAAACAGTGTTGGAGGTAGTTGGAGGGGAGTGGTGGTACTGGTGTCAAGATCATGGATCTGATTCCTGCTCTAATCTGAGTCCTACCCTCAATCAATGGCCAACAATGTATTGGAGTAGTACTCTAGACCTGGGTCCTATCTTGGATCTGAGTCCTCAGTTGGATCAGTGTCTTACCTGGATGTGAGTCCTACCTGTCTACCAATGCAAATGACAATTTGTGAGTCACACGCTCAGTGGATAAAATTATTATGTACAACAATAACATGGCATGGCCTTTCTTTATCTACATTCAGAACTGTTGTTTAAGTTCATTTCAGAGATACATATATGACATATGCTGGTCTGAATGCTTTGCACATATATACCTTGAATCTAACAGCAACAACTCATGTTTCCTGATTCAGAACCGGGTCCTCAGATCCTCAGGCATGTACAGTATCAGAGTAAACATTTGATTTTAATGAGACAGACATTGATCTGTGTTGACATAATCAGTTGTGAGATGTCATTAAGGTCTTCTCTGTGTCCACAAGGTCTATGGTGATTATCAGTCAGGGATCTCTGTCACCACATGAACACACTGCGAAGCACAACACAACCCTCACATGCAAAGGGGCCATGGGGTCGTTGCTGAACAGTTACAGATGAAAGGAACTGAATAGACAATAAGTAGAAATAACCTGTAAGGTAGATAAGGTTGTATACATGTATAATTTTAATGTTATATTTAGAATGTTATAAGTTTGCAAACAGGATCCCAATAGGATTATTGCTTAGTGACCTAAAGATTAAAAACAAATGTAGTTCCGGGGAACAAAGAGTGCAACATCTAGAGTATCAGTGCAAGTAGACATATCTACACAGAACAGAAGCATTTGACTACTCAGACAAGCTATATGGAGCCTACATGATCATGACTTATAGAGAAGAGCCTATCCTGCTATGCAACATTGACAAACCAAAGATCATAGAATCCTCCAATGCTTAATGGACACAACTACTTTGAGTTACTTTGATACAAATATGAGTGAAAAATGTCAAAGACCCAATGGCATAACACTATCCTGTAATTTCCAAATGTATATTTATGAACTTACAGATCTTTATTGACAGGTATCACACATCATACATCATGTCTGATGCAGTTAATAATGCAGAAACTAGACACTACATCTCATGTGTTGTTAATTTGACTTCAGTAAGTGTATGCAATAGTGTTACACACGGGACAGTACATTATCATACACAGTTGAGGACTAACCAGAGAATCATTTCAAGCATAAATATATACTTAACAATGCCTTATTCTTGATGTAAAACTATCCAGTAGAAACGATGCAATGGAAGTGGGTCCTAAGACATACTGAATACCAAATAGAAATTTTCAATACACAATGTAATTAATAATTTGTGAGTCACGCTGTCAATGGTTAAAATAATTATCTTGAACTCCGTGTTAGCAAATACATTTTAAAATGTTCTTGTTGAGTAAGAATGTATATAGCCATCCACTCACTCCTCTGAAAAAAGCTTAATAAAAAGACAAATATTAGTAAAGAGATAAAGAGCACCATTTTGAGGAATTAAACACAGGACAAAAATGTTTACCTTGGTTGACATCAAATCAATAAATATTCACATCACCATCCAGTCTACGAAACTGAGATATTTAGCTGGCATACAGATAAGAAACAACTGGTAGGCCATGCAGTTTTATTCTTTGTGACTCGCCTTTATGTAAGGAATAGCTATAATATTTTTAATTAGGTATAACCATAAACATTTTTGTGAACACTGTGTCCATCTTTCATTGCATAAAGGGTTAGGCACTGTGCATGCGTTTTTTTACATTTATATATAAATCAATGCAAAAACATATTTAAGCCAGTTCCTTTAGAACAGATAAAATAAGTCAACACAAAACTCCACACACTGCTGATGTGACACCAGTGCTGTATGGAGACAACAATACAACACAATACAACAACCGAAGGTCCAACCACCAACTGAGTTTGGTTTCAGGAAACATTATATACTGAAAAAAATTCCAAATCATGGCAGTAAAGACACATGCATTTCTGTATAAGGAAATATAAAAATTATACTATTGTGTTTGTAATCTGCATCATTTTTGTTTTCTGAAAATCAATTTTATCCTCATGTAAGTGTATTTATTGACCTGGATTTGTGTGTGATTTCTTCATTGTGACCAGAAACCATTTTGATAGATGTCTAGTGTCATATTAAACACTACTCACCCTTCTGACATATGTATAATTTTGTACCTCCCATAAAAACATGAACACAACATTGAATACAAAAATTTCTTTCCAACATCAAATGATGCTAATACAGAATCATAGTATCACACGTCCTTTACATAGTCTTAAATAATTAAAAAATAGTCAGTTAACTCTTTTGACCAACACAGAAAATGAGAAGAAAATGGTTATAACAAGGCCACCTTGCATGAAATATATACAGAATGCAAATACATGTGTATTTAATACATTATCAGGCAGAAACAGCAATATATTCAGGAAAAAATATTTTTAAAAAGAAAAATGTTCTGAAATAAATCTAAATTTTGCCCCTACCTGTCAAAAGGGATGTCTCAGGAAACAAGATATAAACACCATCTTTCTGTGGAGCATCATCAAAGAACTAACAATGGAAATTAAACCGAGGCAGCCTAAAGCAGAGATGTCCTCCCGTCTCAGCTGTACATGACACATGACAACATGTCACCCCTCCTCCATGTACAACATGACTGTCATGACACGTGTAACATGTTGCAGGGTTGTTCTCACCCCATCTGTCACATACCCCACTTGTCAGTGGCCGGATAGATAAAGCTGGCCTAAGAATGTTTCATTAAAAACATTATGATTCAATGTAAATGTTAGCAAATGTATACATGTATGCCCTTTATCACTGTATGTGATTTACAAGAATATAAACTCTGTTATATTCTGCTACCTTAACATCATGCATGCTATGGTTGAGTTTCTCCACAGTCCCAACAATCTAGTTCTTTCAATACACAATGCCATATAGAAAGTTGTTAAAGGCAACATATGTTATATTTGGTATTACACTTTCTTAGTAAAGTACTGAATCTAGTACTTTGGGGGTTGAGTCCCATCTGGGATTCATTATTTAACTGGTTGAGCGGGTTAGTGCCTGCTGGCTTTGTGTGTTGGCGATTAGGTGCCTGACTCTGAAAGTGTGGGTTCGGATATAAGACATATTATATTTAATTTAAAAGATGTTCATTTTGTTTCATAGACTTAATGAAACATAAATAGTTTTTTGTAATGTATTACTAAATCAAGTTGCATTTGTTTGGCTGTTTGTAACAAATTTCTCAAGTCAAATCAATGTCTGTCTGTTTCAATGATGTATCATATAAATTTCAAAACTGGGTTATTCTACAGAAAATAGCAAAATGTTGTCACTGACTTACGTACTGTTTACTTGTTTCTGTGAAAATGATTTTCAACTGTTTCAACTCTATCTGACAAATGGGGTGTGACCTTAGTTCAGAGGTCAGGGAATATTGGTGTTCTGTACAATGCCTAGTGTTAACCACTGGTACCCCAGTGCATGACTGCCTTCATTCAACAGCTGGTCTAGACTTCTCTACTGTACATATACAGTATACTACTGTAGGTATTGGGTTCTGTGCTAGGTAGTGTTTTATGACTATGTAAATACCAGAGAATACCTCCACTTGAGTGTTAGACTACAGACACTGGGACGAGGGTATAGTTGAGAGCTCAGGGAATGATCAATCGCTATCTATTTGCTTTATGCTGGGGATTTCCTTTGTCCAGTAATCAGTTAAGTGTACACACTTAACAACTGTTGAAGGGTTTGTTTTTTTAATGGCGTAATGTTCAAGGGTTCATCCATTCAGCATGACATCACGCATATCTTACAAAATGAATAACCAATCTCCTTAATAAATCTTTGTGTAGCAATAGCAGAACTAGGATAATTTGAAATATAAGTGTCTTTGACAGATGTATTGGTTGAATGTATGGGTCTTTGACAGGTGTATTGGTTGATTATAGGGGTCTTTGACAGGTCTATTGGTTGATTATAGGGGTCTTTGATGGGTGTATTGGTTGAAAATAAGGGTCTTTGACACATGCATTGGTTGAATACAGGGATCTTTGATAGGTGTATTGGTTGAATATATGGTTCTTTGACAGGTGTATTGGTTGAATATAGGTCTTTTTTTAACAGATGTATCATTTGAATATAGGGTCT